ATATTATATTAATCACAATTAATTGCACAACGCTGGAGGATGGACACGAGTACCGTATTACGTCGTTAAATTAAACACCTGTTACAGCGAGCCGAGGTGACGCGCGTCGCTCGCTAAACTCAATATATATTTATCAAAATTGTCGGGTAAGCGTACAAAACGCGTGTGATTACACTGTTTCAATTACTTAAGTGACTAATAAGCTTTAAATTTAAACCAAATACAAACACTATTTAAATGAATAATTCTATTTGCGAGTAACTAACCAAAATTTAAATTTTAAACGAACACTATTTAAGTCTATTCCATAAATTAAAGTGCATTGTCTAAGTAATTAATCTAATAATTCGACCAGAAAATGGTTGAACGACTACTAAACACCAGTCCAAATCCGGCTCGAAGGACCATAAAATGGTGGAGCGACGAGCCTAAGGTTAGCGAAGTCTAATTCCCCGGTCGAACCTTAAACCTATTACGCGAGATATTAACTAAAATGGACTGTATATGCGAAATGATTCTATGTTTACATAAAATGGCGACTATAGCACGCGGTTTCCCATACAATGCACTCGCTCTTCCCTAAAATGAACTATTATTTGCCAAATCTATGACAGGAATCCTGCTTGATTAGGAGAAAATGAAAATTGGAGTGGATTAACTATTAAACACAATTATATCAAGCAGGAACTAGTAGGAATGTTCACTCACCGGGGTGTTGCTTCTATGCGGCTTGGGCACTATGTTATGTTGCTGCGCTGCGACTTCTGGAAGACACTCTGGGTAGACTCTCTGGGGCCCCAGAGATGCGTCGGGAGAGAGGCGGTGTGGTTCCAACGACGAGCGCGGCGGGAAGAGAGTGCGCGTCGGCCGCGCGTGCCTTTTTATTACTTCGGTTGCGATGATCGCGTAATATTCTAGAATCATCTTCTTTTCCCTCCTACCCCACCACCCCGATGTGTCGATAGGAGGGTATGAATGATATCGTTTGGAAAGGGATAAACGATTTGGCAAGCCTACCGTCAAATATAAATAAAATACGAATTGTTTTCCGCGCAACCAAATAGTTCTAGTATTTTCTGGCCCATGTGGCATTTCCTTTAATAATGACAACACTGATTCAACAATTGCTTCTTTTTCTTTTAAACAAAATTTGTGTCTTAATTAATTTCAGGCAATCTATTAAGTACTTTGTCTTTATACAGAGGGCTTATTCCTGATTTCATAAATCCGGCTAAAATATTTTGTTTTGTATTTGGTTCCATTTTATTTAGTAACTGCTTGAGTAATTTCGGAAAAACATTCTTTGGTATTGTGGGCCTTCAGATTTTTTCCACGTAAAAAGAATGTTACGCCACGCAATTTTCACAGGCCTAAAGAAGGCTACAACAAGTGGCTGCGTCAGGTGCGTTGAATTCGATGGCAGAAATACAAAATATACTTCTTGTTCTTGACATTTTTTAATTAAATCAAAAGACAGTTGTGAAGACAGATTGTCTCCTATCAATATTTTTTCCCAGTTTTATTATTGAAGTATGGAAAGGCTACGGTTTCCACCCAATCTTCAAACGTATTGCTGTCAAACCAGTCTGAGTTAGTGCGATTATATCTACAGTTAGGAGGGCCATTTGTAGTCCAGATATTGTAAAGATTGCCTGCTTTATATACTACATAGCAGGGCAACAGTGTTCCATCGGCGGATACAGCCATCATCAACAATGTCGATGACTTTGTGTGGTTCATAACCCTTTCAGGGTATTTGACGCCTCATTTAGTCAAAACCTTCTTTGTTCCAGGGTCGTCAGCTAAATGTCAGCTAATTCACGATGTTACATAAAGGTACATCCTTTAAGGAATTTTCAAGTTGCCTAAATTCTTCTATAATTTGTGGAGATACTGTAGCCCTTTTGATGTTCTGGCTTAATCTTTCTGAAATTTCCTTTTTGTGACGCTTTAAGATACATTCTATATAATCCACGCATCTATTTCAACTAGAGATTTATTTCCAGTTTCATTCGTTTCTATTGCAGTTTTTAATATTAAAGGATCATACCTCTTATAAGGTTTTGTACTTTTTGAGATATACCCGCGAGGCATATCTGAAAAAATAAACTTGCATTTTTGTAGGTATATAAATATTTCCACTCAAAATATCTACACTAAAATAAACTTTCGGCTCCGCCCAGAGCAGGAGGTGTCATTTAATAATTTCCCATCCCAAAAAACTGAGACACGTGTTAAATGTGTCAGTTCCACACACACTGTTCGTCAGTAATGTTCTCAGTTCCAACAAATAGGGGGCAAGCCCATTAAACCGGACACAATTTCGAACTCTGTACAATATTTCGAAATTCCAACAAAAGTTGGCCAAACCCGGGAATGGATCCCGAGACTGCCTGCTCGGCAATCGCACTTGCTATTGCTAGTAGACTAACGACGCAGTGTAATACTCGCTAATTTATGAAATAAAAAAATCGATATAAAATATAAAGAAATAAACCTAATTATTACCTAGATTACATAACATAAAAATTGTTAAGTCTGATTATTACCTAGATTACATAACATAAAAATTGTTAAGTCTGCTTAGTGACAACCCTATAAAGCTGTTCCTATTCATACATAAGTCGTTCCCATTCATCCCATCCTCATCCCGATTAACCCCGCTTTCGTTGTGATTCATACCTGAGACGTCCCTATCCACCCCAAAAAATACATATTTCTCATGTCATTCTAAAAATCTAAATAATAGTAATATTAATTAGACTGATACACTAAATAACGTATAAAACAAACACTCGTATTCGCTAAATACAAAATAACTTTTACACAGCAAAGTTTTAAACACTGTAACATTCGGCGTCTCGTTTAAACTATTTTCAACTGACATTTTTGACAGTTTGCAGCTAATGTCACGCTTGTTCAATGTTGCCATAGAAAAGTTTCAATAATCTACTATTATCCCTTAAAAAATGGTAAAAGTTGGAACGATTTGCAAACTAATATTTAGCGTCAAAAATGTTTCCTGGTTTTTTCCCTATTCACCTCTGGATCCCTATTCCCCCCATTTTACTACTGGAGTTTATACTAAGTCTATGCTCTCTACGACATACGACCTATAAGGCTATTGCATGGAGGTTAGAGAATTAGGGAACTAATGATTAGCGTGGCCTCGAGTGATTTTTTATATTTAACTGGCTTTACGGCTCTGGGTACTAGCCCTTCTGAAACCATAATTTCTTTCAGAATCTTCATTTCATATATTTTTCCTTCACAATATGCTGATGCGTCATATTGCGAAGTTTTTGGGAGATTTTGACGACAGCTCAACTCAGCGGACTGTTGATCGAGAAGCGATCAAATTAACTTGAGGTTATCAAAGAGTATATCAACATCAAAGCACTTGTTTTGTTGTTTTCTCTAATAGTTCACAGGCGCAGCCACTTAATTCACAAAATCAAATCACTTTTTTTAATTTAAAATCCACTTCAAACCATTATTCAAGTGACAAAACAGGAGCGACAGTCCGTCGTCGGCCAAGTTCCCGCCAAAACTTCCGGCCTCGAGTGAGAAAGAACGATAACGTAGACAGATAAAGAAAAGAAACCTATAGACAAATTGACGCCTTCTTTCGCATTCGCACACGAAAAAGATAGATTTATGCATACGTCTTGCACAGAAATGAGACAGAGCGGTGTGATTGTTTGTCCCTTATTCCGTGCCGGTTTTTTTTTTGCAATTTTTGCACAACAACTTTGACAGTTCGAAGTGATCTAAGGGGTTTGAGTGAGAAAAAAGTTGTGAGCTTAAGATTGGTGAATCTTGTTCAGTTCAGTTCTTAGAACAATTAAAAATTTTATCTAAATATGTTTAAAGTCATAAAGATTATTGTATAACCTATAACTACGTTATCGTCCTTACTCACTCGGGGCCACGCTAATCATTAGTCTATTGGTTTCTCTGTCTACTGTCTACGACATATAATTTTTTAAATTTAACTGGCTTTACGGCTCTGGGTTCTAGCACTTCTGAGCCTATCATTTCTTTCAGCTCAACCCAGCGACTGTTGATGACGACAGCCACTCAAGTTCATAAGGCGCCCAAGCGATCAAATTAACTTGAGGTTTATATCAACATCAAAGCACATGTTTCGTCGTTTTCTCTAATATTTCTCACGTGCAGACACTTAATTCATAAAATCGCATCACTTTTACGAATTGAAACCCACTGCAAACCATTATTCAAGCGACAAAACAGGAGAGACAATACGTCGACGACCAAGTTCCCGCCAAAACCTACGACATACATACGATACGATATATATCATGGAGTATAGAAGTAAGGAGGACAATCTCCCATAGAATAGTTAAAAATATGTGCATCTGTAAGTAGTAAATAACAGTTCAAAAACTCTTCACTACAGCGCTCGCTACAGGGTATGATAAATCGCCGTAAAATACGTTTAGAGTGATTTTGAAAATAAAAACTATGAAATCAATAAAATAATTATTGTAAAAAGAATTATGGTGAGTATATGCAATAAAAAATTTGACAAGACTGTGGTGCCGCGGTCCCTTAGTCCCTTAGACTTCTTTCGTGAAACGGACTGTATATGAGTTTATGAGTCGACTAATATCAAAGGCGGCAATCTGTGCTTTTTGACAAAAAATAATTATTGATATGGCAACTTAGATTGATTTAACCCGTTAACCAAGCCATGCGCACTTTTGATCGTACAATACCTACCTTATGCTCGCTCCAAAAGAGCACTAATTAGATCAGAATTACTGACCTATGAAAAAACTATTTTTTCGTTTTAAACAAAACCAAAGACACTATGCAATAGATAATAGTATCAAAGACAAATATATGCTCTTTTATTTTAAAACGTAACCTGGCAATGTTTCTTAGAACAAAAGAAAAAGAAATCACTTTGGATTTCCGCCATTACGCGTCGCGCGTCGTACACGGGTGCTCTCATTGTTATAAAGTAATTTATCATTTTGTCTGCAAGAAAAACGTAAGTATTAAACATTTTTGTAATCCTTGTGATATAACGAACCCGTAGATATATAATTTGTGGCATAAAGTGAAAAGTGAATGCTAAAAATAGTTTGAAATCGAAATGACGTAGAAAAGTTCAAAAGAAATAGTAAATGTAAATGTCTATATTTTACGGATAAATCTAATTGAATACGGTAAAATCCTAATGAAATTACGAGATAATTTCATATTCTTCAAGATTTGGTTAATTTTTCCTATCAAAATTGTATCATAACCTATACAATTGTTCATAAAACGGTCCAATACCTATATAACAATTCAAATATTTCGCCATATTTAGCATATTTGCAAGGATTGCGCGAGTTTTATCGATAAGGCGATCGATATGGAGATATTTATAAAAAAAAGTGATAAATTTTACGTATTTTTATTGTACAGACATGTGCTTCACTTTTTTTTCATTTGGATGAATTCAGTATGTATATAGCAAATTCTGCTGATATAATAACATAATAAGACCCTATTGTCTATATATTCTCTGCTGAATATATATATATTTATCCCTATATATCATATATATATATATAATATAACATGAATGTATATATAATATGATAGGCATAACTATGTACTATGGTATGTAACAATTATTATTTTCTTTTTTAGCATGTGGAACCCCGGAAACATCCCAGTTCCCCAGGTCTTCATCGATGTCCTTCTAGATGAGGAGGAAGCCGAAGAAGCGGTCATCAATGAAGAGGTTGGGGAACAAGGTGACTGTGATGTATCTGTAAGTAATATTTATATGTAACATCACACACAAGTATAGATAAATAGACACTTATAGATATTAACGGGTTCATTTTTCAACAGAGCATGCCAATTTACTATATGCGGTCCGATGGGTCATGGGGGGACCTGTCGGAGTTGGTGGTAGAGCCTGCGGAGGTGTCTGTAAGTCATTTATTTATATTTATAGCATCAGTCATTTATTTATGTTTATTATATATAAATGTTTGCAGCCCAATTAAAATGTGTGTATTATTTCAACAGGGGTCACCTGCTCCGGCTCCGGCTGCAGCTCCAGTGGCTGCTCCGGAGGCTGTACCAGGCCCCGCACCCCGCAGAGTGGAAGTAAGTAAAACAAAACATCAGTAATGAAACGTTTCTATGTAAATTTTTATATTTCAGCTAGTATTTATATAAATATTTATTTATATTTATTATATATAAATGTTTGCAGCCAAATAAAAATGTGTTTATTATTTCAACAGGGGTCACTTGCTCCGGCTCCGGCTGCAGCTCCAGTGGCTGCTCCGGAGGCTTTACCAGGCCCCGCACCCCGCAGAGTGGAAGTAAGTAATAAATATATATATATATATATATAAATATATATATATATATATATATATATATACAATATGTAACGTAATTAACGCACACCCTCAGACACCCCAATTAGTATATTATGGTAAAGTCATAATACATACACTGAATTTTTAGTTAAACATTTTTATGCACTGATTATTTATCAAATTAGTTATACTAATTCCGGAAGAATGTTGTGGTCACAGTACAAATCCACGAAGGCAAAGACTTTAACGTGATTGAAATAAAGTTCATTTTTCTTTATTTTTACTGAATGACAGAATTAGTAATAATACAAATAAAACTACACTCTTAAAAGTCTTATTGCCTTAAGTTACGGTCCATTTCAGTTTGTTTTGACTGTACAGATTTAGTGTGACTGTAATTTACGTAGTTTTAATTATTTTTGGGATAAAAAATTACCTATATTAAAAATGATAGGAATCGATTCAGTAAACGATTCTGAACAAACTACTTTCTCAAAGTGCGTTAATTATGCTACATGTTGTATATATATATATTAATATATATATATATATATATATATATATATAAATTATATACATAAGTAAATATTTATATAAATATATATAAATTTATATATATTTAAGTTATAATAATTAAGTTATATTTATATATATATAATAATATAATAATTAAGTTATAGTTATAATAATTAAGATATTGTTACGCGCTCAAATCGACAATACACTAGCGCCATCTAGTGTCAGGAACGAGAGCGAGGGGAGCATTGAGAAAATGACATCACAAATCACTCAACCGACAGCGCCTAGTCGAAACTCGAACGCTCGGTACCTTGCGCGTGTTTACTTGAACATTCTGGATATTTCTTTGCTAATTTAAATATATAGGCGCTGCAAGATGCGATCGAGGTAGTGTTGATTCGGCGACACAAGCGAAGCTTCGGAGCGGAATTAAGTGAATTAGTGTGTTTAAATATTAGTGTTTTTAGTTTTAATTTGTGTAAAGTAAATTAAAATGTTAATTTAGGTAATTTTATCGGCAATTTTTATCACTCAAGCTCGTAACAATATATATATATATATATATATATATATATATATAAAAAATATATATATATATTTACTTATGTATATAAATTTATATAAATTGTATATATATATATATATATATATATATATATATATATATATATATATATATATGTGTGTGTGTGTTTGCAGTACAATAACAACGTGTTCATTTTTCAACAGGATTTACCTGCTCTAGAGGGTGCTCCAGGCCCCGCACCCCGCTTCATGGTGGAGGTGTTGGACACGGCGGCGGCACGTCAGCGGCGAGGGACCGCGTCTGTACGCGGGTGGACGTGGCCGTGGCCGTGACCGAAGCGTGGGTTGGTTGCGTGGAGCACCCTTCGTGCAAGTCTTCCCGAATGACACGGATTTGCCCTTGGATATTCAGGGGCAAATCCATGATCATTCCATTAGAAGGGAGAGGTACGAAAGAAGAAGGATAACTGCAAATCAGGAAGAGGAGAATGTGAGAGAGGATGAATGGGATTGGGATGAAGATAATAGTTTTGAGTGGCGAGGGATGAACGAGTGGAATGGCAGGCAATGCCATTTTGTGTCAGAACAGACTGGGCCTACCGTTTTGTTTCACGATCCATATGAGGCCATGCATGCCATCTGGACAGATGACATCATGGCCCATATTGCTGACGAAACGAACCGGTATGCCGAGACGGTTTTGGCACAGCAGCGTCCAGGTTTCAGGAAAGATTGGTTTCAGACCAATCTACATGAAATCTGGGCGCTAATGGCATTTTGGATCATGCTTGGCATTATTAGAATGCCAAGCATTAAATCATGTTTCTGCAAGCACCCACTACTGAGGACTGACGTATTTCGCGCATTATTCACGGAAGGCCGCTACTGGAACCTCAATGCGGCATTTCATTTGACCGAGGGGACAGACCCTAATAATCTGCTGCACCCAATGGGTCCCATTATCGACCATTTGAATGCCAAGTTCCAGGAGTTATACCAGCTGGACCAGAACATATGTATTGATGAATCGCTAACTCTTTGGAAAGGGCCAGTTAGGTTTCAACAATACATAAAGTCCAAGGCAGCCCAGTTTGGTATAAAAACCTTGCAACTGTGCGAGTCGGCCACAGGATACCTTTGGTCGTTCTTCGTGTATGCGGGCCGCGAGACAGGGAGTAGGGTACCGGTCAGCGTGTCCTCTGTGTTGAGGCTCATACGACCTATCCTCAACCGGGGGCACACGCTGTACATGGACAATTGGTTCAATTCCCCCTCCCTGGCTCGTTGGCTAAAACGCCGCAACACGGACTGCTTCGGTACCCTGCGGCCGACTCGCAAAGGGGTTCCAGAAGCCATCAAACGTGCACCCTTACAGGAAGGGCAATTTATTGCCCGTGCGTCCGACGACGTCATGGTTGTTGCGCTACAAGATCGCAAGCGAGTGACTTGTATCTCAACATACCATGGCGTCTCGCAACAACTATTTGCCGGACGTTCGGGCCACACTGCACAATACAAGCTCGATTTGATAAACGATTATAATCGGTACATGGGGGGAGTTGACCGCCTTGACTCGATGCTGGAGGCCTATCTAGTCGAGCGGAAACGATGTTTGAAATGGAACCGGAAAGTTTTCAAACGCCTTTTGAATGTTTCCATTCAAAACGCAAGGGTCATTGTTGAGAAATCAACCAACACCAAACTCGATTCCGTAGCGTTTCGGTTGGCGTTGGTTGACGGCATTATAAACCGCCATCTCAAAATGGTACCTCGCCAGCCAATCCCTGCTCAACACAATAGACACCCTACCTTTCCATTACAGAGGCTGACAGAGCGCCACTACATTCGCCGCATACCCATGCCAAGTCGAGAGACAACGGCAGATGCGGCGGAGAGACCGCCAAAGATATACAAACGACGTGCGTGTGTGTGGTGCACGAAACAGGAGCACCGCAGAACACTCACGTCGTTTGAGTGTAAGCAGTGTGGGGTGGCGCTCTGTATGAATAACTGCTTTGAAGAATTTCATGAAACTCCGTAAAGGTATTTACGTAGTTTTGTGAAATTCGCGGAGGGTGATTGTAATGGAAGGGTTACAAAGGAGCAAACAGTCCACCTGATGGTAAGTGGTTGGTGTGGCCCATTGACCTGTGAGGAATGCCTCGTTTCCAGTAAAAAGGGTCAAAGGCTCTCCGGTTTCTTTAGGGTGATAAACGAGCACACAGTCTACCTGATGGTAGGTGATTGCTGTGGCCCATAGACATCTACATCTACTCCCCCGTGATCTGTGAGGACTAAGATGGAAGACCTCGTTTCCAGTAAAAAGGGTTTCTGGTCTCCTCTACCTCACCAGTATCGAGCTAGTATTCTGTGAGAGCATGGTCCTTCCCTTTTTCTTCCTTCCTTTCATTTTTTTTATAGTTTACGGTGGAAAACGAGCACACAGTCCACCTGATGGTAAGCGGTTGCAGCGGCCCTTAGACATCTACGTCTATCCCCCCGTGACCTGTGAGGAATAAGATGGAATGCCTCGTTTCCAGTAAAAAGGGATCTCCGGTCTCCTCCTCTTTGTCTTTTTTTATAGGTAAGGGTGACAAACGAGCACACAGTCCACCTGATGGTAAGTGGTTGAGCACACAGTCCAACTGATGGTAAGTGTTTGCACTGGCCCTTTGACATCTACATCTTTCCGTGACCTATGAGGACTAAGATGGAATGCCTCGTTTCCAGTAATAAGGGTCTCCGGTCTCCTCCTCGTCCTCAGTAGTGGGTTCAAGAAGGATATGAATGGGTATGAATGTTGACTGAAAGAATGTGGACTGAAAGTATGTTTAATTTGAAAAGAAAAATTGTACAAAAAGGGTTATTATAATAACCCCGGTGAATGAGGTGATCGCCACCATGCTGGTTCTATAAAAATTCATTCAGAAATTGTAAAAGAATAAATTTATTGTAAATTCAATATAAAATCATTACAAAAAGTCAAACAACCGAATTTGATTATTGCCGGTTACATTGCAAAAATTTATCGATAAATATACCAGCGACGCCACATCACTATTTGCTCCATACATTTGTTCAAATATATTTTATTTCTTGTGTTTTGTATTTTGTGCATTGAATTGTATATGTTTATTGTAAATAATAATAAAAATGTACTTTTCTAAACATATTTCATTTGTGTCGAAACATATTTGAGTGTGTTATATGTGAATTTATGTTGAAAAACTTCCGTTTTCGTGGTTGAGTAAGAAATGTGTTATTTTTCCATTTTCATTTATTTTTACTGTATAATGTAAATAAAAAATAATTATATTACATATTTCAAATAATTTGGTGTTGTATTTATTTCAAAATCACAAAAAAATATTAGAGAAATAGTGTTTCAAAGTTCATATAATAAAATAGAATTTCGGAAAACAAGGGTTATGTTTGATTCCTATTTATTTGTTTTTTTTTTTTTTTGTATGGGTTACGAATAAAAACACATAAAAACATAAAACTATATTTATTTCCAAACATTTTCATATAGATTTCTTGAAAAAAAACTTGTGGAAATTATTTTATTAATGCATAGTAGTAGTAAATACTCCACTTTTAGCCACGAAAATATTAACCGCTCTACCTCCAAGCGGTCACATGTATCTACGTTCATTTCCATGCGTAGTATCCTCTTAGTAGTCTGTGTTCATTTCGTACGCCATTTTCGCGTGAATGTTATTGAGGCTAATTTTTATATCTAGTGTTTTATTAGTGTTTTATCATGAAATTGTAATGAAAGTTTTTGTGTAAATATAATTTATCTTTTTACGTAAATAATTTCGAGCAATATATATTGAAATAATTGTGATTTTCACACTGCCGACATTCGCTTGGTATTTTTTTTTTGTTATCAAAATACAATAAAATCTTTTTGTAATGAAGTAAAACCTGACTTTTGTTTAGACCACAAGTAGAGAATTTTGTATAGATTTTATAACGTTAAATTTCTTCGTAGAAAATTAGTCTGTAAATATAAGTATTAATGGTTTTAAGTGCTGTGGGTGGGTGAGGTCGCATTCGACCGCTCGGGATCTGCCAGGCGCATGCGATTGCATGGGATTTTTATGGCGCTTCAGGGGTTAAATAAAAACGTTTTCCTTAGAGTATACGATTCAAAACTGGCAATAAACCATAGTAAAAACAGGCCAAAACCTGACATCAGCATCAAATCCGGCTATCTGTAAAACTTTCAATACAAACCCGGCCATCTTACGCTGCCGACCAATCATACATACATAGATCTAGTATAAACTCTATAGATTGGCCTTATGAGTAAAAGAGAGCTACCGCGCCTTACTGTACTTTCCTGTGTTAAAAAGAGAAAGGGAGTGAAGCTGTCATCGAGACTAAACACATTTAGCTACCGGTACATAACAGCCCAGCAGACTGTGCGCGAATACATTTTAGCAATTTCATAAGTGAACTTAAGTGATAACTAGTTAATATACGTGCATAATACTATAGTTTTTTGTTCTGTACCATAAAGTATAATCCTCAGGATTACTCATTTCACTAGTGGTTCACAAATTAGCCCGTTTTGGAGAAAATTTAATGAAAAATTAATTTTATATAGTATTGAGATATACCAACACACAATCAGCCATATTTGGAAAATTACAAATAGAGAAATATGAGGGCATTAATAACCTCATATAATAGTGATGCGCTCGATTTGTTTTTGATGTCGATTTCATTAAAGCAAAGTGAAGGTTACCTAGTAAATTATATTTGTACAGTGAATAGTTAACTTCGTTGATAATAATGGTTAATACATACATATACATAAACACTCACCCCTGTCACCCAGAGGGGTAGGCAGAGACTACGGACTTCCATTTGGCACGATCCTGACATACCTCTTTCGCTTCCTTTACATCCATATATCTACGCATACATGCTCGTCGGTTAAGGGTACTTCTAACGTGGCCCATTTTCAAAATATCGCCAATTTGGTCGATAAACTTTTTCCTAGGGCGTCCCTTCCCGACTCGGCCATTCACATCTGCCATATAAATTTGCTTTGTCACTCTTTCCTCATTCATTCTTTCTACGTGACCAAACCACCGAAGCATTCCTTTCATAATCCTGGTCACAACATCATCTTGCATACCACATTTATCTCTTATCACGCAATTTCTCACCCTGTCATTCAGATTACACCCTAGCATATTCCTTAAAGACCGCATTTCTACAGCATTTATTCTACTTTCGTGCTTCTTCTGCCACACCCAGCTTTCACTACCATACATTAAAGTAGGGACTAACACAGCATTATGTATTACCATACGTGC